CGGTTAAAATTTTTCGGTACTGTCCAAAATTTCAAAGGCTCCTATTTCGTGACCTTGACCTTTGGTTACCTTGTGGCCTGAACAAAATTTGTTGCTCTTGATGGTATCTATCCAGTGATATACTCTTTTGTGCTGTGCAATGTTTACTTCCGGTTTTATAGCGGATTGAAAATTACGATTTTTATCTTCAAAGAGCTCTGACACGTGACCTAATTTACATACACCAAAAATTCTTATTGAATTTTACTAGTGTTCATCTGCCCTTTGTAATGATATATAACACTAGATATTTCAATCAAAATTGCGCTTTTTAATATTTGAAAATTTTGTACTTTCTTCTATAGTAACTGTGCGTAATTTTCAATAAATCGAAATGGGGCCTCAGGGTGTAATCCAATTTGTGTAAATTTGATATCTATGGTATCTACTATCGATTGCTAAATAATATTTGAGAACCGATTTTTGAATTTTGATTTTGCTTTTTATTTATTTCCGGTTGAAAAATATGAATACTTTAAAAGGTCGTATATCGTGACCTTGACCTTTGGTGATCATGTGACCAGAACAATTTTGATAGCTCTCGACGAGATCTTTCCAATGGTATATTAACGTTTATTGTCTGGTGTTTACTTCCGATTTTATCGCCATTTGAAATTGATGAATTTTATCTTGAAAAAGTCGGTTTTCCTCTTGTAAGTTTTTTTGTGGTCTAAACGATAAAGGTAGTTTGCTCCCTTCAACTGTTCTTGAATACAATGTGAGTTGAGCGATCTGTCGAATATGCTTTGCGTTTGGGCGATCTATATCCAGTTAATTATAATAGGAAATTATGTTACTGTTACGATACTTTGCGGCACCGTTTTAAGCGTAAAATCAAAACTGTTACGCACTGCATCAGAACCTCGCGAAGCCTGTGGATCTAGTTTTTCCTTGATATTATTAATAAGATTATTTTATGTTTTTTTCAGTATTTTTCTACAATTTTGGCTGGTAAGTTATTTACCCATGTATAAAATCTTTTAAAAAAGATAGGACTGGGTCTTTTTTCAACACGCCTCAATTGTACGAGGTCATTTTGATTGGTCGAAATTCACCTCTGAAGCAATTTAAATAAGTGAACCATATAATTTTTATAACAATGGTATTGGTCATGCTATTTATACTGAATAGTTAAACTATGTTTACTGAAAAATGTGGCTTACACAATCAGATGATTTGATTTTAAACAAGGCCCCTATTTGTGATTGGTTGTTGATTTG